TACCGGGCCTACCTCCATCTAAATACAGATGTAAATTTATTTAACAAAAAAAATAAGCCGCGAAAGCGGGATAAAGGTTTTCAAAGTTTAATAATTTCTACCGCCATCGAAAAACGAACCTCCAAAGACCGAACAGGGGGAAACAGGTTGCATAACACCTACATTGCGCGCTCACAAGCATCTCATTTTGCGCCGCAACCGAAATTAGTTCGCCATAAAAGCCTATTTTATCACTTATGTCTACATGTCAGTAAATTCTGATGGTTATATCGAAAACATCTTTAATAAATTTAAAGTGGGGAAATGAGTGGCACCAGGACGTTACATACAACCATAGATTATTAATTCCTATGAAAATGTTGATACTATGGTTTTGAGTACGTGATCACATCGAATTACGTTATTTTCAAGTCAGCTGTTCATTCGTCCATGGTTCTTTGTTCCCTTACGACTATCTATCCCGCGAGTTATTTCCCGAGAAACTCTGATTTAAATATGCATCTAACCTCTAAAATTACTCCACGCAAAAAAGAGATATCATTCCATTTTTCAACTCAGGTGACCTAGTTGAAATTTAAACTTAGGTGAAGCCCTTTTTAAGCCCATGTTTGTCCAACAACTATCGACTTCCTTCACATTGTAAGCATTCAAATGTCCTTACACGCTGGCTTGTCATGTCCGTAAAAATGCCCTCACCCCTCAAGGTCGATGACAGGGAACTCCGGTTTTCGGATTTGGGATTTTAGCGCTTGTATCGTCTTCAGCTAAAAGCCAGCACAAATTATAGGATCCTGGATCTAAGTCAGGCTTCAAATGGAAATATCAGCCCGCTTATGCTACGGAACTCCATCACACCTAATAGTTTAATCGCTGGTTTAGGAATTTCAGGCGTCAATTTTTTTTAATTGAAAAACTAGATACAGATACGACGTTTTTTCTTGGAAGGTCAACCCACAGGTGAAATAGAGGGTCATTCAATGACAGCAGAACTGTGAAAATAATTGTCCTTGTAGTACCCACATAAGTTGAAAACACTTCGGGTTGGCAGGTAGAAAATGCTAAATTTTGTCACGATCCTGTCAACCGACGCCTCAAGGCCATCTGCGGAAATTCGCCGGAGCAATTGTCAACAGCGCAGAGTTGAGTACGAGAGTTGGGGACGTCAGCGGTGGGTCATTACAACAGGAGGGGAAGTAACAGTGTTAAGGCGGCTGGTATCTGGAAGGGAGCGTGACCAATGTAATTATGATGGTGCGCATTGGAGTGCCTACAGGTGCCCTGAGTAACTGATGTGTTGAGGAACGCTCATTCATCAGTCACTAACATGGTCAGGTATTGCCAGGCATTTCAAGCCAGTGTGTTTTTAATTTGTTAGTACTTTACGCCAGGACGCGTGAAATATGTGCTACAATTTACCAAGGCATCTTCATAATCAGTGTAGTAGGCACCTGATTTAGCTCATGTTACATGATGATAAATTCCATCATTATTAATGATCATCTGTATCATCCCTGTTCACTTAGGGAGTTCCCCTCAAGTTCAAGGCAAGGTATATACATTGAGCGAGGACTGCAAAAAGTACACCTTATGCCAAACACACCTTGTGAAGCAGCTTCTTGCAATCAATTTCAGCACATCTGGCCCAAAATTTGGTGCTCCTGTTGCATGGTAGCCACCAGCTCAGTGTGTGAGAGCAAAATATCCAGAAGTTATGATGCTACAAAGATAGGATCATGCAAAGATGGGGCAAAAATATTTTTTTTTTGCACTGAATGATTAGCACACTTAGGGTCATGGCTGGAGTTTGGTGCACTGAAGCCTTAAGTTTGTGGACACTGATGTTGCACAGGCATCCTGTGGGGTGATGTATTCTCGCCAGCTGGTATCAGTGGTGCGCGAGCTCCAAAAGTGCCACATTGCAAATGTGCCTGTGGTTCTTTTAGATGGGTCATTTTAACAAGTCAAGTGCAAGTACAAAACATAACATCAGTTACCAGTCCACCACATATACACCAGTCAAAAAATCAGTCATTAATACTGTTAGTCAATGATGCCTGGTGCACATGTCCATTATGTGACACAACTGTGTGGATGTATAATCTGCTAGTTTTTCAGGCCACAATGTGTACCCCCAGTTCAGCACACAAACTGCTGACACATAAGGGGACAAAGCAAGGGAGAGTATAATTGGTCTGCATCATACTTGCTGTAAAAACCTGCTGGCTGCACACCTCTTGCCCCTGTAATTTGACAGCTGGAAAGTATGTACCATCTGCTGTGTGGTGCAATCTTCTGAATTATATTTTCTAAGAAAAGGATGTTGATCTTTATTGATAAATTCAAGTGTATGTTGTGGTGTGCCTTGAGTACAAAGCTGCCAAAAATAGTGCTGAGTTGTCATTTTCTCTGACTTTCAGAAGGATCCCGAGAGAAATATGCATGAATTATTTTGTATTTTAATACTGAAATGCTAACAAAAGATGGTATTGATCACATTAACCAATGGAATTGTATTGTATTCTTAATGGAAGGAAAGGTTAATGAAAAACGTGTACCATATTCAGGTATTTCAGGGACTAAAACTTCTTTAAATATATTGCACAAACTACTGAGTTGAGTAGATTAAGTGTGCATAGACATGTCACAGGTTTAGTTAAGTATTTGTATGGAATGAGATGCATGTAGTGTGGCTTTGATTGACTGTGTGGAGGTACTTGATGTGGAACAAGTGATTTAAGAGAAGAACAAAACTTAGGAGTGGATAGTTGCTTTTGTCTACTGATTTCAACATGTTGAAAATACTTGACATTAGTGTTCTGATCATTGCATTGGCATCAATGGGCACTGCATGCCATATGTATGGCAGCACACATTTTTCAGCTGGCTGTGAATTCAAAGCCATGTGAAATCTGAGCTGTTAAAAATTATCTGTGAAAAACAGGCTTTTGATTGCGACATAAATCTTTGTATGGCTTTTCATGCTATTTTAGAACAACTGTGTGAGAAACTGTGACTAATAATTCCATGGAGTGCATGTTATGCAAAATCAAGCAGATGTGCAGGTGGTCAGGATGAGTGGAAAAAACTTGATTAACTGTACAAAATAAATTTTGTTTCACTCAGCTCTAAACATGAACTTCAAATTGGGCAACGTAGTCCATACTAGCAGATACTGTTTTTTTAATATGGCCAAGTGTAGTCTGTTGCCATCCAACTTGTGTAAGTAGGCCAACATAGTTCTGCCTATTTTCAGTAAGAAATTAAGTTAATAGTGTGACATTCGCATACCATTAGTGTTGTTTTTGCTCTTTCCACTCTGCTACTTAAGCATAAATATTTGTGGTATGTTGATGATTTGTATTACTTACAATATTTAAATGAAATGAAATAAATATAATTGCCAGCATTGTCAAATTGTGAATCACTGGAGCATTCTCCTATTAGCAGTAGTGTCATTAACATCAGTTGAGGCTGACAATCTAGGCTCCATGCATAGTGGGCTGACACATATGGCATTCCACACTTTATACAAACCTAAAGAAGATTGTTTTATTACCTGGAAATGAAAAGACAAGGATTGATGCCAGCCAGATAGCCTTTGAATTTCTGATTATCATAAGGTGAGCAAGGCTGGTGTAATTGCATGCAGATTGAATGGGTTGGGGTTACCAAAGTATCATTGAACCACATTGATCACTGAGGCTTACTCTCCTCATTGAGCTGGAACATTTCTTTTTGTTAAGAGATTTCTTTGTGTGTTGGAATAGTGCTGCAAACAATCTGCCTGTGTATTAACCCAGGTGATGCAAGTAGTCCCATGTGGTGTTTCCATGGTGGCTCTGGCATGTATTTTTCATGGAGGAAGTTGATCAAAAGAAATACAAAAATTAGAAAACTATGTAGCACACCAGATCTGTGCCAGTGGCTTAGTTGGTTAGAGAATCTGCCTTAGAATTTGTGTGTCTATGGTGGGGTGGGCTGAGTCACCAAGTGCCCATTATTTGCTGCTGACTGAGATAGCTAGGGGGCTGTGTGAAAGGCATTGTGACTTGAAAGGTTAGGATGGACTGTCCTGGCAGCACAGCACATTAAACTTCTGCCACAGAAGTCTGCCATTGACTTGGCGTTTCAGATTGGATGGTTTGGCCTGAGGTCACAATTGGATGAGGTCATGCAAGCATTGCTTGGCGTGGGCTCCGATCCAGAAATCCATCCTGTCAATAGTGTGGGGGGGGGGGGGGGATAATCGTCAAAGAAGAAAAAAATCATACTAGTGGTCTTGGCATTCTGAGCTCCTGTAAATTGCTATTTTGTAAATGTAAAATGGGCACTGCCATGACATGTTATCATGATGTATTCCAAACATTGTTTGTTGGCCACGTTATTAATGACTTCTGTTATGCTGAAAGCTAAATGATCGTCAACATAACAATGAGCAATGTCAAACAATGAATTCAGGACCTTTCTTGCTTTAAAATCATCATAATTCCTGCCTTTTTTGCCCTGGCACTGCATGGTAACTTGAGTGTGAGCAAAGTTTCTCACTGAAAATCAGATGTTATTCTAAACAAACATGAGAACAAAGCAGGTGAGATTATTTGCAAAAACTGACTGAAATAGATGTGTGCAAAGGCTGCTTCATCAGCATGCCGTTGTGTGCTGGCCCCCGCCGCCAGTGACGCCGTTGTGACGGGCCGTTGTGTGTCGCCCTGCCGTCAGGTGACGCCGTTGTGACGGTCCGTTGTGTGCCGCGCCGCCGCCAGGTGACGCCGTTGTGACGCCGTTGTGTGCCGCCCCGCCGCCAGGGGATGCCGGTTGCGGCAGTCGCTGCTGTCCTCGCTACCAGCGGCCGTGGAGCCAGTGGAGCTGGCACCCATCCTGCGATCGATGTGCGGGCCCCGTGCCGGGCGCGCTGGACTCGCGCCCCGCGCCGTCGCTCGCTGTCATCTTGCTGGCGCAAGTGCGACACGGGCCGTCACGCTCAGGGTCAGTGCGTGTGTGACGAGGGCGCCGTGGTGCGATGTGACGCTCCGGGTCAAGCGTGACCGGCCGCGAGGGCTGCAGGGCGCTGGAGGGGGTCGAGTTGTGACGTTCGGCCAGCGGCTGATGACCATCGCCCCCCCCCCCCCCGGGGAGGTCAGGACTCCGGTCCGGGTCGCGCTCTGGTCCCCGAGCGTCGCTTTGTCTCTGCGCGCGCCGTGGCTCCGTGATAGGTGCGCAACGATGTACGTCGCGCTTTCTTTTATTTTACAAATAATGCCAAATAGAAAAGATGCTACAGGGTGTGGTGGTAGTTTGTCATACTGATGGTTATTGTGACACAGTTGTTTACCTGTTTGTCAGTGTCAGTGACATAGCTATGACGCAGTTGTTGGTATCAGTAGCGTGGCTGCGACGCGGTCGGTTGGTGTCAGCGACGCAGCTGTGATGTGGTCGGTTGGTGTCAGTGACCTAACAGACATGGGTGGTTGGTGTCAGTGACGTAACAGACGTGGTCGGTTGGTGTCAGTGACGTAGCTGTGATGTGGTCGGTTGGTGTCAGTGACGTAACAGACGTGTGCAGTTGGTGTCAGTGACGTAGCTATGATGTGGTCGGTTGGTGTCAGTGACGTAACTGTGACGTAGCCGGTTGGTGTCAGTGACGCAGCTGTGGTGCGGTCGGTTAGTGTCAGTGACGCAGATATGACGCAGTCGCTTGGTGTCAGTGACGTAACTGTGACGTGGTCGGTTGGTGTCAGTGATCCGGCTGTGACGCTACATGACACTGACATGCTCTGACACTGCCGATCAGTCTTCGCTGCCGACACTGACACTGACACTGCTGATCAGTGCTCACTGCCGACAGTGACACTACCGATCAGTGACACGGTGGGACAATGTACTCGGTGGCAGGCGACAGCTCACGTTTCCACCTGCATAGCTCCGTGATTGTGATGGTGATGGTGGCGATACGCGCCGGTGGCGGTCACGCCGTCTTGGGCTCGGGCCAAAGGTGATTGCGCAAGATGATGCTCGTTGCGTCATTCGTTCAGCTTTGTTACCTGCGTTGTAATTGAGCATATCCTTTGTTTCTTGAGCACCAGAGCTTGGCGTGAGACCTTGAACCTGCCGTCCAATCAGTTATTTATTTGATTTCTAGGTATCAGCGTACGGCCCCAGCAACAGACGGTGTCGCTTCGCAAAACACTTATGCTGACGGTACAGGGTAATGAAATATACAAATAACAAAACTGAATGAACATGATAGCGGTTGGGTGCTGTTAACGTGATATATTCAAAGGCGGGACCGGGCGCCCCAGAACTGGCATCGAAAATCTGAGGCTCGTGTAACGTTCAAACCAGTTTGGTTGAGTTGTCAAAGTCTTGCAGTCTCTGGTGACGCGATGGAAAACAGTCGACAACACTGTAAACAACACACGCGTTAACACGGCAATCCGGATCAGTCGGGACGCTGCCAAGGATATGGCAGCACTGATCTTCGAACCACATACGGGATATTGAAACGACACGGGATAGGATGTGGCGGGTCAGTAACATGGAGCGTGAGGCCAGTGGTGTGATCCGAATCTGAGTACTGCGCCTGACCAGGCCCGCAGTGAATGGGAGTCGGGGGTCGAATCTTGGCCGGGGTGATCGTCCAGGGTTAAATATTGACCTGCTGGAAATAGCTCGAAAGCATTGTTTGAAGAAGTCCCGTGGCGATGAGATTGGCAAGCTTACGCGTTGCGCATGATCGTTTCTGGGTTAAATTTACGGCCCGCTGCAAACTATTGGAAAAGTTACATGAAGAGGCCAGATGCTGGCAATGTGGCTTTGGGTCCAAGGACACCCAATTCACCGGTTCCTTGGACGTGCCTTTCTTTACTATATATGTATATATATATATATATATAATATATATATATATATATATATATATATGTATATGTATACTTAATACGGACGATGCTTTTTGCCTAGTGAATAATTTGCACTTAGTTTATTGCCACATGAATGCCCGTCTGACGGGCTGTGTAACCAGACGATCATGCAGAGCCATGCGGCAACGTCAGTCCGTCAGCGGGGGATGTAACTTCGCGGACAGTTTTGGCATCACTGGCGGGCAGAGGACAGCCGGGCCGCGCGGGAGGCAGGCGGGTCATGTGGAGGGCAGCCGGGTTATCCGGGAGGCAGCCGGCACACGCTGTCACGCGCACGGCAGCAGGTCAGGATTAAGTCGTTAGTAGACAGAGAAAAGAGAAGGGGGGACCGAAGGGATCCCTCCAGAACACCGGACACCGTCGATTTCCACTGGAAGTCTTTTTTCACAGCAGCCCTCTGTAGCCTGGCAGACAGATGCAAGACAAGCCAGTTCAGTGAGGAGTCTCAGTAATGGAAACATTGCAGTTCACGAGTGGCGATGGGCCGTCATGCCAAATGGCAGCGAATGACGAAGCAAACTGAATGCTGACGATAAGCACACCGAAAACTGTCGAATGGTCACTGTAGACGGGATCAGTACAGATCGGAACGACTTGGCTCCCGTTGTGAGAGCGTGTGGTGAGCATGCGTGCAGGCGTAGAATATTTGTCCCGGAAACGCGGGATCTGAACAGCGGCGACGGCCCTCTCTGTAAGGCTCCGGTTGTGAAGAAGGGGCGTCTCTGCTGGGATCCGACCCCGCAGTGTCCACTGTCTTACACAGGGGCGCAACGCGCCCTGGAGCGGCTGGCAGCCGGCCTCCCGGTATCCCCGCTGTGCCGCGCGCTGGCGTCCGGCCGGACGGGCGGACGGACGGCCGCTCATCCAGACGTCCCCGAAGGCTATCGCGTCACCCCCGGCGACAGCTCCCCCCCCCCCCCCTCCGCCCACGGGCGACGCCGGGGTCGTGCACGGGCGCCAGTCCGACGCGCCGTGCGACCGCCCTCGACCGGCATGCAGAGTGACTACCCCAGGGTGTCGGAAAAAGCATGCAGAAATAGAGAAATGGGACTAACAACCCTTTCCGCCCCCCCCCCCCCCCAATTCCGGAGTTTTAAAACCGTCTTTGTCTCCGTCTCCCGTGCAGGAACGCCGAGACAGCGGCGCGCCGGGACGCCTACTGCGCTCTCTGGCGCCGTCGCGCGCCTCGCTGGCGCCGGCCGTCACCGTGTGTCGGCCGTCACTGCGGCACGCCGTGACGCTCAGCAGCCTGGAGCAGGCGCGCCAGCGGCCCAGCTGCAGCCGCTGCGGCAGCCGGCGCGCGCTGCAGCTGCCGCCGGCGCGGCTGGCCACCTGTCGCGTCTGCCTGGCCGAGGTGCCGGCCGCCGAGCTGCTGCGCCTGCGGGCCTGTGGCTGCCGCTTCTGCCGCGAGGTGAGGCGTGGCGGCGGGTGGGGAGCCGAGAGGGAGCTGGCGGTGCGCGCAGGGCGGAGAGCCGAAAGGGGGAGCTGGCGGCGCGCGCAGGGCGGAGAGCCGAGAGGGGAGCTGGCGGTGTGCGCAGGGCGGGGAGCCGAGAGGGAACTGGCGGTGCGCGCGGAACGGCGAGTCGAAACGGAGGCTGGCGGCGCGTGCGGGACGGGGAGCCGAGAGGGGGAGCTGGTGGTGCGTGCGGGACGGGGAGCCGGGAGGGGGAGCTGGTGGTGCGCGCGGGGCGGGGAGTCGAGAGAGGGAGCTGGCGGTGCGCGCGGGACGGGGAGCCGAGAGGGGGGTTAGCGGTGCGCGCGGGATGGGGGGGCTGAGAGGGGGAACTGGCGGTGCGCGCGGGACGGGGGTGGGTGGTCGGGGAGGGATGAGGTGGCGAGAATAACCAGGCGGAGTGGTGACGGAGAGACAAGGTGGATGGGCGGGGGTGGGCTGACAGTGTGGATTTGGGCGGAGAACGAGGCAGCTTAGAGGAACGGCTGGTTGGCTTTGGAGGGGACGGGCTAGATATTTGCGGAGTGATGACACAAACACTGGAAGGTACAAGGTCGCCGTATGTCTGTAGAGAGGTGGGCCCCGTATGCTTCTGGTGGAGCCAGCTGAGAACGCATGGAAAGACGGACCCCGTATGCTTCTGGTGAAGCCAGCTGAGTACGCATGGAGAGACGGACCCCGTATGCTTCTGGTGAAGCCAGCTGAGTGCGCATGGAGGGACGAGGTCTGGGTGTTCGCAGCCGAAGAAGGTGCTCGGTGCGCGCAGAGGGGTAGAGGCTGAGTGCGCGTGCGAATACGGGAGGGGCTTGCTTCGGATCGAACGCACGGAATGTTTGCCCCGGCAGCGAGCGCGCGTCGCGTTAACGGGTCAGAGGGAAGAAGCCCCGAGACGCGATGGGGTGGTTCACTGGCGTGTAAAGGGAGCGCTGCTGCCCAGCTCAGCTGCGGTCAGTTGTGCAGCGTCTGCACTGGGCACTGATAACAGATACCACCGTGCAAGCCCCGGCCTTGTCCGTTTTTGTGGTGAGGCGGTCTGGGGCTCTTGTCGTGTTGTCTGGTGACGTGTTGGTTTGACTTTGGCCTGTGCTTGTTGCTGCGGCTCATAAACGTGTTCTGAATAGTTGTTTTGTGGATGGATTTGATTCGTTTCATTTCGTTTTCACGTACATACCATTTAGTTCTTTGCCGCAGCTCGACGCCCCCCCCCCCCCCCCCATTTGCCTGGCTGTGCTGTTATATAATTCACGTCGCTTTCTGGCTCGTCCTGGTATTCCAATGCGACGTATGTGGTCCTGGCATTTCAATACCATCTATAATTGCTTTCATTTCGGCCAGATGCGCTAGCGCATGGTTGATGGCTTTGTGCCAACTTAGCGTTATGATTCTTAGCACGCGCTCTCGGTTGGTGGTCCATTTGCCCGGTTCCCCTGCACCCCGCGGGTTTTTCCAGAATAACTTCTGAACGACGCAGGGTAGCCGTGCCAAATTCGGTATAGCTGTGGGGGATTTCATAGCTGATTGTTTCGTATGTATCAAGTTACCCTGTAGGTACCCTGTACCCTGCTGTACCCTGTACCCCGTACCCTGCTGTACCCTGTACCCCGTACCCTGCTGATCTAAGGCAGGACAAGGTAACACCATGGCTGTCGGCGAAGGCGACTCCTAGCAAAGCATCCAGTCTGATGCGACAACGGAGCGTTAGACGAAGCCATGCATCTTTGCGGTGGTTTTCTTAGACCAGTAGACAGCAGAAGTTATGAGAAGTACTGATTCCATTGGCCTTAGGTCAGGTGTGAAGTCTAGATCGATGTCAAAACCAAGCCGCTTTTTTACTGGGGAAGTAAAAGGATGGGGTAGTTTTGACACTCATTCAAATTTCTTGACCGCAGGACGTCAACAGGCATCTTATTTAGACTAACTGAAGGTCAGAGGTGATGACTGTCTTAAAACGGTTCGACCAATCCTTTGTTTTACGAGCATACCGACTAGTATAGACCGTGACGCATGATTGATTCAAATTTTGAAATAATATGGAGGGTTTTGGTAATATTGTTCTTTTGAATGTTAAGTAAGTTCACTGAGCTCAAACCTACATCAGTGACCTCTTGCTCAGAAGAGATGCCGACTTTGTTTGACGTTATTTAACCCGAAGGCCTACCTACCGTATGAATCTAGTGTCTCTAGCTTCCTTAGCTTTTTAGCTTTCAGGGGCCAAATTGTCCGCCATCCGATCGCGCCGCATTCAACCGGCCACCCTGGCGCGTGTTAAGACTGATGGAACTGTCCCCGTGGTGGGACTAATAGGACTAATAGGACTGTCCTGTGTGTGCGACAGCCTGAGGGTAACAGGCTTGAACGGGCTGCCAGGGCTGTTTGCCATCTCCCCAGTCCCGCAACAAGTAGCGTGAGGAGGCCTGATGGCTAAAGGTGGCCGCAAAGGCCCTGTTGCGTACCGCACGCCAGGCGGCAGGGACGCCATGGCCGGCGCAGCCCGGGAAAGGCTGCGGCCCTCAGCCTCACGGCAACTTTGAAAGTTGTCAGTGAGAGCCCTGACCTACCTCCCGAGGCCGACCTACAGAGTCCTGTGTGATCTGGCGACGGTCACCACGGAGCCGTCGCTGACCCCTCGTCCCGTGCGGCAGTGCATGGCGTCGGACGTAGCGGTGTGCGTGGAGAACGGCGAGCCGTCGGTGGCGTGTCTGGAGCCGTCGCTGACCCCCTCCCTCGTGCGGCAGTGCATGGCGACGTACGTAGCGGTGTGCGTGGAGAACGGCGAGCCGTCGGTGGCGTGTCTGGAGCCGTCGCTGACCCCCTCCCTCGTGCGGCAGTGCATGGCGACGTACGTAGCGGTGTGCGTGGAGAACGGCGAGCCGACGGTGGCGTGTCCGGAGCCGCGCTGTCCGGCCGACGGCCGGCTCAGCGCCGACGAGGTGCGCCAGCTCAGCGACGGCCACACCTACCGACGCTACCTGCGGCTCGCCTACATTCACGGTAGGCGGCGACCGGCGGGCTCCGGTGGCCGGCCGCTGGCGGCGCCGCTGCCGCTTTGGCTGCCGCTGGCGGCGCCGCTGCCGCTGCCGATGGAGGGTCTGCCGGCGCGCCGGACGACTGTCACATGCTGGTCAGATGGGCTGGGATCAAACGCAGTATGTGTACCACAGTCAAGCCGGAGATTTTGGTAACAAAAGGTCCGTGGGCAGTTTTGTTTCCGACTTCAAACGAACCTTAGCTGGAGGTATCAGAATCCTACATGGTTGCGTTGGAAAGAGAGTGGTATGTTTTCAGGAGACCGAAAGCTTCGTCCAGCCGCGATAGGAGGCAGGAAGCTGCGGGGTTCGCGCCGTCGTCTGCGGTCACCGTTAGGGCCTGTTGACGCTAGGTCCCGTTGTCTCTCGTTGTGGCAATAATCCCGCGCGCGAGCTGGTCAGATTTAAGTATCACTGTAGGAATTGCCGTCCTGTTTACTTCGAGTTTGCGTGAGGCTCTTGTGTCGAAGGAAAATAGGTTGTACGACCACTGTTACAGGGAGTGTCCCACCTATGAGGCATATTTCAAAAGCATGTGCAAGTGAAACCTTAGGACTATTTAAGACTAATGGTAGCACTGGGAAGTGCCGCTGCAGTGCCGTCAAGACATAATAAGGCCATCAATTTCAATAATTGTCTTGTCCAAATTAAACTGTCGACGCTTTGCGGCAGCACTACTCTTCTTCCCTGCAGTCGCACTGTCGTCATGACAACCACCGTGCGCATCTCTGCTGGTGCGACCTGTTGCTGGGAGATTGGTTGGTTGAAGTTTTAATCAGTGCGTCACATGGATCATGTGATACTTCCTTTCTCAAAGCCAAAGCGCGCCCCCAAGAGAGCCGCTGTGGTTAACGATATATAGGAGAAATCGAAGCCATAATATAACGTTTCGTTGAATTCGCGAGTAATAACATTATGATCGCATATGTTTTTGTCTAAGCAGAGTGTTTTAAGCTTTCGTAGCATTTATTATGCAAACATTTCGGCAGTTAAGTATGTTGCAAACATTACAGAACACACGTTGAAAAAGTGAGGTAAATAAAAGGCATTACTTTCATAATGGTGAGCAGAGAAATGAGATTCCCCAGCAGGGCCGGCTGCTCCAAATTGAAATCGTGAGCTAGTTAGAAGGATTTCGAGAAAACTGATATTACTGATAAAATTGCAGGCATCTGGTGTAACCATAAATGAAAAGTGCAATAAGGTGATATACCCTCATTAAAAGCAGTGATTCTGTTATGCAAGCTGATATACATATAGTGTGTGTTTGGTGAAGTCCATACAGGGACTGCTCATTTAGATACAGCTATGGTTTATGGATGATGCGAAATATGTCGTCAAACGCCAAATAACGTCAGCCCATCTTGAAATATGTCTGATGGTTACTTGATTTCCATAGTGATCTGTTTGTTGATCGGTGGTTGACGAATGTCTATGAAGAGCAAAAGTAAATGCTCAAGCAGGTAGCGTACTGTGTGTAGTTCCGTGCATTTCTAAAAATCCCCCGACGGCTGGTGTGCGCGGCGCTGTAACCTGTCGCCCCCCTCCCCCGCCCTCGGCAGAGGTGGAGCGTGACCCGAGCCGCACGTGGTGCCCGCGGCCCGGCTGCGACACGGCCTGCTCGCTTCCGGCCGGCGGGCGGCCGTTCACTTGCGGCGGCTGCGGCGGCTCGTTCTGCGCCGTGTGCCGACGGCCGCGCGCCGAGCTCGACACGGAGCTGCACGAGTGCCGGCCGGAGCGTTGGTTGCTGGGCGGCAGCCAGCAGCTGGGCGCCGCCGTCAAACAGTGCCCGCACTGCGCCGTGCCCATCGAGCGCGAGGACGGCTGCGCGCAGATGATGTGCCGCCGCTGCCGGCATGTGTTCTGCTGGTACTGCCTGTCGTCGCTCGATGTGAGTCGGCTGCGGGCGGCGGCCGGGGAGCGGCGCGGCGCGAGGGCGTGTTCGAATCTCGGCGGTGGCGGGAATGTTTCGCCTGCGCTGGCATTTGGCACGCCCTGTAGGCCGTGACATATCGGGGCCACGACTAAGTCCGCTCGTGCATTTCAAAGGAACTTTTCCCACTTGACTGGGCATTTACTTTGGAGTATCCTGGCCACTATTGTGACGATTTGAGGCACTCAATCGCTGTACGCAATATTTTCGCTGATTGCTGTAAGCAATATTTCCCAGTTCCCTCCGCGGGTCACCGACCTCCCACAAGTCGTTACGCCTCGAACTGTGCGCCGTCACAGGCCGTGTGACGTGCCGGTTCGTGTTGTGAGTGTGTCGCGGTCGTGACCGTGCGCCCCGCTCCGACAGGGTGACCTGTTCCTGCGCCACTACGACCGGGGACCTTGCCGCCACCTGTTGGGACACTCGCGCGGCTCGCTCGTCTGGCACAGAGTCCAGGTGCGGCGCCGAACGGGCCTGGCCGCCGTATGGCGCCAGCCGCCGGTGAAATGGTGGCAAATTCACCCGGGAAATGTTTAAGAGAAGTAGCTTACTGCACTCGGGACCATCATCAGCATTACCAAAAAAAAACAAAAAAAAAACACGTCAATGCTTGTGTTTTACGATGGAGGTACCTTGCGGCAAACATTCCTCTGGTATTTACTGTGGACTGGTGCGATCGTTGGCCTGCTCTGACCTCAGAAACAGTGTAATCTTTCTGAAATTTAAAAACGCATCGGAAATGTACAAATGTACGCCAGGTGCTTACAATGCAGCATGCACAAAAACGTCATTAATTCTGCATTAAATGTGAAATGCGAAGCGAGACCGGTGTAGATAACATTTCCGCATACCGTGCCTGGGCCAGCAGTGACGCTGACCTTCCATCTCGTCTGAGCTAGCAGTGACACTGACCATACATCTTGTCCGAGCCAGCAGTGACACTGACCGTCCGTCTCCTCTGAGCTGGTCGTGGCACTGACCGTCCATTTTGTCTGGGCTAGCCGTGGCACTGACCGTCCGTCCTGGCTGAATTAGCAGTGACACTGACCGTCCGCCTTGGCTGAGCTAGCCGTGGCACCGACCGTCCGTCTTGTCTGAGCCAGCAGTGACACTGATCGTCCGTCTTGGCTGAGCTAACCGTGGCACTGACCGTCCGTCTTGGCTGAGCTAGCCGTGGCACTGACCGTCCGTCTTGTCTGAGCCAGCAGTGACACTGACCGTCCGTCTTGTCTGAGCCAGCAGTGGCACTGATGACCGTCTTGTCTGAGCTAGCCGTGTCATGTACCGACCACGCGCCGTGTCTGAGCCAGCCCCGGTCGTGACCGCCGGTCCCGTTTTCAGCTGGTGGGTGCGCTGGTCGGCGTGGGCCTGGTGTTCGTGGTGGCGGCGCCCGTGCTCATCCTGTTCGCGCCCGTCTTCATGTGCACCAGCTGCCAGTGCGACCCGGCGCAGGCGGCGCCGGCCGACCCGGAGAGCTCCAGTCGCCTGGCGCCGCTCGAGGAGGACACCCCGCCGGACTGAGCCGCTCGCCGATCCCCCCCCCCCCTCCCTCCGCTCCTCTGAGGGCACGGGGAGCGGCCACTTGGCGACGCTTTCCATGCTTGGCGCCTCGCCTGCCCGGCGTCTCGCTTGTGTGGCGCCTCGCTAGCCTGGCGCCTTGCTTACCTAACGCCCTGCTTGTGTGGCGCCTGCCTTGCCTGGCGCCTCGCTTATCTAACGCCGCCTTGCTTGTGTGGCGCCTGGCTTGCCTGGCGTCTCACTTGGCTGACGCCTTGCTAGCCTGACGCGGAGTGGGTGACTGTTGGCTACTGTCGCCGTGCTTAAGTCGAGGATGCGGGCATAAGCTTTACCCGACGGTGGGATGGGTGGGGTGGGAAGGAGTTATGGTGGCCTCCAGGCCCCGCTTCATAATGAGTTGGGGTTTGCTTCGCGCTAAGTATGTGGTAGTTTTAGTGACCAGCTCATGTTTCTTTCTGCAGGGTTAACATCCGTCCTCAATACGCTGTCTTGGTTTTAGGTGATTATCTGTTGACGTACGGTTCCTTGTATCGGGTGTTACTGCCGAGGCTCTCCTGAGTCCTAACTGGGCGAGATCAGTTGTGCTGCTTTAGCGTGTACCATATGTTGATGTCACTGATCATCCCACAGTCCACCATGTCAATCAGATATGAGGGCGCGCTGTCGGACCAGACGGGCTGTCTCGGTCCCCTCTTTCCATCCATCTGTAGATACACAGCTGCTGTGATCCACTTTTGGTGCGATAAGTTGCGCAGTTGTAGCGCCGGGGTTCGTACCTTGCGGAGGTTGCGTATTGCCGTGTCTATGTAGTGTACTAGGCAAACGCACGACGCCTTTCACGCGTTACCCTGTGAGGGGCTGTCGGAGGCGGCCTGCTCCGGTGCTGCCCCGGGGAGCGGCTTGGCTTTGGCCACTCCTGGCTCGTCGCTGGGGGCGTGATGGGCGCCTGCTGCTGCTAAGCGCTCCGCTGGCTGGCTGTCGCCGTCGCCCGCCGGCCCGCCGGCCCGCCGGCTGTCGTGTCGGGGGGCTTCTCGGTGCCGGAGAGCGGCCCGTGCCTGCCGGCCCCGCCGCCGGTCCGCTGGACATGGCGGGCCGTCCGATGCGCGCCAGGGCGGGCTCGGGAGAGGAGAGCGCGCTCGCGCACACGGCGGGTCCGCCGGGCGTGACAGCCGTCTGATGCGCGCCAGGGCGGGCTCGGGAGAGGAGAGCGCGCTCGCGCACATGGCGGGTCCGCCGTCAGCGACGGAGGGCCTTCGTCGGCTCGAGCGCTGCCAGTGAGCGCCGCGTCTACTGTTTGGGAGTGACACTGCGGCACATGCGAGCACGGGCATCGGTAAGAAAATGTCCAAATGTGGTTACTTTGGCGATTGTGCTCACAACCATGCTCTGGCGCTTCCCGCGAACCGCCGCCTTTGACGGTGGTCTCCAACCGTGGGTCCTGGATCACAGGGTGCTGGACCCCCCCCCCCCACGCTGTCGCCCATCGCCCTCGAAGTTCGCGAGCACCGAGCCCACGTCCCACGGATCCAACATTGCACTCGCAGTCTCGCCGCCGGATGTAGTGGATCCTGAAATCACGGCATCTGGATTCTTGGTCGGGGGGTTGAAGGTCTCTCCGGATTCAAGATCCGTTCTGGCATTTTGTAAAATATCTTTGGTGCCCTGGATTGATTCTGCTGGAGGATCCTTCCGAATCTGAGATCGTTGTCCCAGCTTTACGGAAGAACCTTCCTGGACCATGGGTCCGTTTTGTTTTGTCAGACATTTTTAAGTAACTATCACGTCAGACGGTTTTTGTATAAGCCTCCATGGTGTGTCGAGTCTGGTTGAGCTGTCCCTTTCCAAACTGTAAGGCTCAAATGTACCGGGGACGTCCAACCTTGGTAGCACTGCCACATCGCTTCTCCAGCGAGCACGCCAATGTCCTCGCTTATTGGATGTGCGCACGTTCCATTTAAACGCATTTCGCACAAGCTTGCTTTTGGAGGTTCAGCAGTACTGATAGAGACGTATTTCTGCCTGATTTTTGACAGGTTTGATGTTGCTTAGATAAAAAAGAGGTGTTCCATTTGATAAAATAAAATATTTGGGCATCATCCATTGTCTAGATGATTCATCCGATTCAGGGTACATTTCAAATATTCTGGAATGCGTATTGAAATCCAAAATATTTCGGGCGTGTTGTGTTTAAATCTTTTGACATTACTTGAGAAAAAAGCTCGTCCGTATCGATTCAAAAACCTGCCGAAAGATCCTGTTGCGCCCGGGAGTCCCTACGGCATAAAGGGATCCTCGTGGATGCCGAATCCACTTTTGGGTTGCCAGAGACCCGCTGGTTTTCCGGCACATGCCTGGACGGCACCAGCTCGCCGCCGGCCAGGCTCAACTGCCGGTGAGCCGGCCGCCGCCTGTCCGTTCGCGCAGCGCGCGTCGCACTGCTCCGCCGCGCACAGTGCGCCACCGTCACGCGGCGCCGCGTCTGCCGCGATGTCGTCGCCGCACCTTGTCCCGTCAGGCGGAGCCGGTCTCCCGGCGGCGCCCCGGCTGCGAGCGGCGCTTTTCAGCCCCCTGGACTGCGAGACGGCGCAGTCGGCTGCCGCGTGTGTTCGGGCGCGTTCTGATGCCGCTCAAGTAAGGCTACCGAAAACTGGAGTAAGCCTGCGCGTTTTGTTCGCCGTGTGTGCGGGAGGGTGACCACGATGTTGTCCATGGGTGGTTCGGCGGCCGATATGATGAGCCGTTTTTCCATAGCGGGACATGTTGAGCGCACAAACTCCGCAGAGGCGTTCCTGGTTGTTGGGGTCGTGATCCGCGAATGTACGGGCACGTGGACACCTGCTTTGCTTTTAACTTGACGCGGGCAAACCCTCCGGCGGCGCTTCACTGGTAACCCCTCGACGTGGACTAACCCCGGGTTAGTATTCGGCTCTCAGTGCGGTCGAACTGGCAAGGGCGGAATGAACGGGCGAAGCGCAGTGTCCGTCGGGCGAGGCTGCTGTACGCCGCGTCTGGACGCGCTTGGCTGACGCTGTGTGCAGACACTGGCTGGCGCTGTGTCTGTGCGCGGACGTTGGCTGGCGCTGTGTCTGGTGCGGACACTGGCCGGCGCTGTGTCTGTGCGCGGACGCTGGCTGGCGCTGTGTCTGTGCGCAGATACTGGCCGGTGCTGTGTCTGTGCGCAGACACTGGCCGGCGCTGTACCTGTATGCGTACATTGACCGACGTTGTACCTGTTCGAAGCGTACGCGTGTGGCACTACCAGCCGCTGGTACGGTCAGTGTGGGCCTCCAGGCTGGCTCCGTAAGCATGTGCACTGTTGGCATCGTCGGGTATCAGAATGGCGGAGAGCTGGCTGCAGTGTGTGGCGACAGCACTACCATATTTTTCGCTTGGGCAGTCGCAGCCTGTCGTGCAATACAGTCTGGTAACAAACGAGATGCGTATCGGTTTACCGGCGGCCAAGTCGAGCTGCTTCCGCGACCGACGGCCGTCTGATTTGCGCCGCTGTTCTGGGAGCGCTGACGACGAGGCACAGCGAACACAGCAGCTGAACGTGGGGAGCCGGCGAACAGCGGCGGTGTCGGACATGTTTCCGTGGAGAGGCGGCTCCCGTCCCTTTCCAAGTTTCGAAAAAAGTAGCGTTAATTGTAAGAAATTGAATTTTTGCTAATTTACACTCGCGGAACCCAAGGTACGGGAAGAGAAACCAATGAAGGCCCATGACATGATGCAAGAGTGCGGCCGCTCCCCCTGACGTGTGATACTTAATCTTGTGACTTTATGTGTGCATGGAGCCCCTCCGTCCTCAACGTCTTTGCTGACTCCGGTGGCGTTGTACAGTCTTGGCCGTGTCACCCTCAGCAGGCCCGGGGCCAAGCGCAGCTCACCGCAAAAACAGCTCAGGCGCAGCAAAAAGCCAGTTATTTTACTCCGTCGCAACCTCGACAGACGTCCCGGCCGCCCGCCGACGTGACTCGGGGATGGTTGCCGGTGCCACGTGTGGCCGCCACCGTCACCCGACCACGGTCTTCGCGCGACGGGACGCGACGTCCCGCCGGGGCGCCACGGTCGCCAGACACAGGCGCAGGCTGTCGGGTCACTGCTGATCCTATGACCCCGTGTCTGGCAGCCCCGCCACGGAGTCACGGTTGTCCGACACGAAGGCTGTCGGGTCACTGCCGACCCCCTGACCCCGTGTGATCACTACTGAGAACTGCTCTTGCCGCTGCCAACATCGCTAACTCTCGCCACTAACATTGCTAGCTCTGGCCACTGCTTAAATTGCTAACTCATGCCACTGCTAACATTGCGAGCTGTCGTAACCTCACCGAGGGCCTCCGCGCCCGCAACGGCATTTCATATCTGACGTCTTCATCGTCCGGAGGTCCCAAACATGGACAGGCCGTGCGGGCGCAGCCGTGGCGCACCAGCGCAGTCGTGTCCAGTCACGTCCACGGCTCACCGAGAAGCGGCTGCTTCATTTCGGACGGCACGTCCCATCTCTCCCCCGTCAGGACAGTTTTGGTGACGGTTCTCGCTTGCTTGCCACGGGCCTGCTTCTATTTTTAGCAGACGTGGGAGTCTCAGCGATTTACGGATCTCGGAAATCATCTCATGACGTGGGCGCAATATGACCATTGCAATCAGCGCGTCCAGAAAACCCAGCCTCCACCACAACCGCGCGCCTCATCCGCCTGCATGTATTCACCACCGGACAGCGTTGATGGCGTTTATTAGTGATCGGTGTGAGACGGATGTATACACAGATCTGCTCTGATGCATGCTGATGAGGTTAGGCGGCGCCGGCCGCGAAGAGCTGGCAACGCTGTCCACTGGCGCCCGGTCTCCGACAGCCGTCCAGGCTCTCAAAGCCAAACAGCTTTGGGTCTTGAAAGACCAGGTCATTTCCTATTAAAGCCCAATACTGGGGATCGCTTCGCGAAACCGAGTTCATCTGCAAATGGTACGGTGTTCGCTCGGGCTGGTCTTTAAATAATGTCCAAATTTATGCTTCCTGAAACTGGCAAGATCACAATCCCAACACAACAGCGAACAGGATCGGCGGATTCAAACCATGGGAGAATAAACAATAAAAAACTGGAGCGCCGCTGTCGAGCCGCGCCTATCCCCGGCCAGGGAAGACATTTCCCACAGTCACGGGCCCAGCCAGAAAACACCAATACGGGTGCAATAGAGTGAGTTCCTAACGTGCCATACAGCTCAGTCATTTCTCGGACATGCGCTCAGGGCGGGCCCGGCTCGCCCCTTTCACCTACTCCCCGGCCGCGAAAACAAGTATCACAAAATGTTGTGTCTGGTACCTACACGTCACTCGTCGCCCGCCCACCGCTCGGCCGCCGCACGCGCTCTCTCAGTCTCTCAACTCGGCACCCTGTGCGGCCAGACCGGCCTGCCGGGCAGTTCCGCCGCCCGTCCAGAGATGGCGCTCACGCGGCGGGCCTGACGCTGGCGCCGCCGCACAGGCACACACACACATACACACAAGACGTGCGGACGGCCGCCGTCGACCGCGTGGCGGCGTCTCGCGCGGCTGGCGTCGCCTCCCCATGTCCCTGCAGGCGAGAGACGGGGCGCGGCTCAGAGGCGGGACAGAGGCACGGCGCCGCCCGCGGCCGCGGCGCCGTCTCAGCGGGATAGCGTCAGCACAGCGGGTATGAGAGCTCATCCAATAGTCATCACGGAAGTCTGCACGAGTGCGGCGGCGTGCGAAGGCAACGACAAATCAGGGGCGCATGCCCCACGTCCCCACCGCACTATCCGTAATGGGATAATTAACTGCAGACAAGAACCGGCCAGCATCACGCAACTTTCCGTCGTTGCAAGCGCCGACTGCACGGAGCCAGCCAGCCAGCGAGCGGGCGAGCGGAGCGCCGGCTACGGCGACAGACTCACTAGGCCAGGGCTCCTGTGTCCGGGTGTTAGGCCGCAGCGGCGACTGGGCGCCGCTCAGAAAACGAAATCGGGGCCGGCCATGTCGATGGCCCAGCGGAACTTGTCGCGCTGCGTCTTGTTGTAGACCTTCTCGATGGGTACGTCCCACTTTTTACACCTGCGGGTGGGAGGGCGGGCGGGCGCGTGAGCGAGCGCCGCTGACGGAGAGCGGCGAACGGCCTCCGCCGGGGCTCAGCGGGATCGTGTCATCACATCGGCTATGAGAGCTCATCCAATGGTCATCAGTGCAAACGGCGGCGGCCAGCCCTCTCCCCCTCCCCGCGCGGCCAGAGGGTCACCCACCAAGCCACCGAGATCCGCGGGTCGAGGTAGTTCAGCTTGGAGGTGCCCAGCGCGATCTCCTTGTTCTCCTCCTTGTCGGTGGCCGAGAGCTCCAGCTTGTTGAGCTGCTCCCGTATCCGCTCCACAGCCTTCCGCTTCTGGGTGCAGACGGCCTGCTCCTTGACGCTGCTCTTGGCGGCCTTCTTCGCCGACTGCGGCACACACAGAGCGCGCCGGTCAGGTGAGCCGGTGCCGGGGTCAGCCGCCAGCCCCCTCGCCGATCTTCCAGAGAGCGGTGACGTCACACACGGCGAGGACGCAGCCCTGCTGCGAGCCTCGCACAGCACAGCGACCCGAGACAGAGTAAATATAATACCCAACGGCAGTCAACGCGCCAGGGTGGTCTGCGCATGCGCACCGCCCCACATAGCACGCCGGCGAGCTGGTTCCGTCGCCAGCGTAGCGCTCAAGGCGATGAGCAAGGCGGTCGTTGGGGATATTTTGCCGCGTTTTATTGTGACGGTAAACCGCTCCATCCATCCTAATACAAACAGCACCGTGCGGCGCGAAAGGGTGCACACACGACTCGGGGCAGAGACATACGACTCGGGACAGACACCGCTGGAAGTACCGGTCCGAGCAAGAACGGTTCCTCGAGCTGTTGGGATTGGCCATGGGCCTGGACAGATGAAAATTGTGACGATGGCTGGAACTTCTAACATGGACAGTCGCTGCAGTTTTTACACCTTCTTCGACACAACTGTAGCCCATGCTGCATGAGTGGGATCGCCGTCAAGTCGAATTCATTTCGTCGAGGGGCCACAGGTCATGCACGCAGCCTGACGCCGAGAGGTCACTCGCCTTGTACTGCTTTTCCGCCTCGGCCAACGTCTCCTTCTTTTCGGCGATCTTGTTCATGAGGTTTTCCATCGACTTCTCGAACGTCTTTGGCACGGCGCGCTGGTGGTTACACAGTATGGCCACGGCTCGGTTGGCGCGGTTATACGCCAGAATCTGCCGGGAGAACACACTGTCACGGCGCTGACCCTGTCACACCGGCTGCGCGGACGCCCGGTGATCGCCCACGAGAAACAAAAACGCACTTCATGAGCGCTCACCGAACAACCCCAACACGCACCGAGCGAGCGGAACGCCACTCAAACGCTCCCGAAGGCCGCCTGTTCCGCAAGCCACAACCGCCGACCCCATCCGCAGAGCAAGTGTGGAGACGGGAGGCTGACTCGGCCCGGGCGGGGCCGCCTTCTCACCTTCTCGTTGACCGTCATGTCGGCCTCGGTGAGCGAGTCCAGCTGCTCCTGCAGCGTGCGTGACGCGTTGTACGTGCGGAACACCTTGGCCGTCAGGCCCTCCATCTGCTCGTTCAGGTGCTTGTTCAGGATCATCGTCTGCAGGCACAGGGACGGAGCTAGGACCGGTGCCGACGCGTGTGATGACAACGGTGACGACACGCCGCCCGCGTCCCCAGTGGCCAGGCGCCCGTCCGCCCTTGTCACACGTCTTTGGCAGGTGCTAAGGTAGCGCGCGCGGGACGCGGGACCATCGAGACGACGAACCAACGGCACAGCGCAGCGGCATCCCACTGAGCTTAGCAAGTTCCGCGCAACGGCTGACAGACACGCACCCCCGACCGCACTTACGCTCAGTCGGTCGAAGAGATCATCCCCCTGCCCCTTGTTCTCCATGAACAGCTGCAGGTTCTTGAAGACGCGCTTCTCCACGGAGATCTCGTTGTAGTAACGGATGGAGTCCTTGCCGAGGAAGTCGAACACCACCACGTACTGCTTGCCATTCAGCTCCTCCTCCAGCTTGATGTGCTCGACGCGCAGCGAGCAGCAGCCCACCGTGTCCGCCTGGTCCTCGTCCTTCTCGTTTCCGGCTCGCAGCGCCAGCTGGCGGGGAGAGCGACAGGCTCGGCTCAGACAGTGCCCGGCCAGCGGCCGCCAACGGCGACTGCGACCACGTTCAGAGAGCAGTGGTCTCAGCAGCGGTCGTATGAGAGCAAAAGGGATTGACTCATCACGTGACACGGACGGGAGGGCGCGCTCCGCCGAAGGGCGCGCGGCCCCCACCACTCACCTTGTCGATGAAGTACATGGCCACAGCGCGCTGCCGTATCCGCATCTCCTTGCTCTTAAAGTCGTTTTTGTAGGACTCGCGGATCTCGTCGACGCACTTGTTGAGCCGGCGCGCCGTCTCGTACTTCTGCCAGTCCTTCTCGCCCTTCAGGCGCGACGCCGCGTTCAGCATCACGTACCTGCCGCCAACACGGGGTCAGCAGCGCCCGGCACGAGCCGCACGAAGTGCACGAGCACACAGGCGCCCGGGCCGTCCTGGGCTGAGACATCGCATTCCAACATTTGAAGCCAGCGCACAGTGCAAAAAGATAACGTTTCGGTACGAACATAGCACAAAACTACCAAAAATATGGCACAATGTCTTGACTTGGACACCAAGAGCACGTGAACACTGTGTCCAATGACACGTCATGCGTCAAAATTACCCACAACCTTCAAATAAGAATCGGCAAGGGAATTTACGGGTATGTCAAGCAGCAAGCATTTGATACGCACGCTCGCCTATCGCCCCGTGGCATTCCAGCGCCCAAACCACGTGGCATAGCCCCCCTGCCACTCCCCTGGCACCAGTCACTCACTTGATCTGGCCCTGGATGTTCTCCGTCCAGGACGCCAGCCACGTGACAGTGTTGTCGTGGCGCACCTCCTTCCACTTGTGACCGGCAGGCGGCTTGGGCACCTCGGACTCCTTGCTGCAGTTGATGATGATGTCCTCGGAGGTGATGCGCCGCTTCACCATGCCCTGTCGGCGGCCGAGGGACGGCTGTCGGCGCTGGGCCACACGGTGGCCGGCCGGCCGGCGCGGCCGACCCCGCAGCGCCCGCGGCTGCCTCGCCGCTACAGTCACGTGTCATGCTGGCTTCGGGCTGCTGAATATCTGACTCTGCGCCCGTGGACCTTCCGACTCAATCCAGAATCTCGGAATGTCATGCGAGTAATGAGTAATGAAACCTAACACCACAAGGTCGTTTTAGGCGACCCAAGCATACATGTCGATTCAAAAATCAAGTAAAAATATTTGCACATTGCAATATGACTTTGTTAGCACACACCAACGCACATTTCACATACATCCCCCACAACCGCACGCGCACGCGCACACGCACACGCACACGCACACGCGCACGCACACGCACACACATGGGGCAGCCGCAAGCACACACCTGTTTGGGGTGTTCACCCCGGCCCCGAAAGAGACCGGGCGGCTCCACACGGAAGTTGCCTATCTTCTCCGTGTGCCCGTCCAGAGTACAGAAGCCGTACTCCTTGGTGATGGCTTCGTTCGCCTCCTTGAGCTTCTTCTTCTCCTCCTTGCTCATGGCCTTCTTCTCCTCCGTCTTCTCCTGCGAGTAAGGGGAGCGAAGGCGTCACCAGCGGACGACGGGCAGCGCCCATACACAGAGACCGCAGGCGAATGTTACCCCAGCACTCACGCCCCAGAACCGCGCTGAATCGAAACATAAGGTCTGGCCACATCAAAAATGATGAGCAGTACAATTATCACTGTGTGCCATTTAAATTAGGTCCCAGAGTGGAGCTTCAGGTGGCTAAAAGTAGTTTTTGCTACATTCCGGTTTTACCCATTGCTTGCTAGTTAAAAACTTTAGAGCTGGCTCAAGTGACCATAACGTCGCTTCATTTTAGAAAGCGATGTTATAGCTTTGAGAATAAATTGTGCATCCAGCCCCAGCTCCAGCCAGCCCACCTTGAAATACGCCGCCATCTTGGTGAAGTCGCACTTCTTCAGCGCTGTGATTTTCTCCTTCTCCTTCTCTGTCATGCATTTGCGCCAGTCGCGGAAGAAGTTGGTGTTGAACACCTCCTTGGTGGTATAGTCGTGGTCGAGCATGCGGGCGTAGAAGGTGGCCACCTCCTCCGCCAGGGGCGACAGTTTCATCTCATGGCCGTTGTAGAAGAACTTGACGTGGTGCGGCAGCGGCTCGTACTCTGGCGCCAGCAGGGGGCCCTTGTGCTCCAGGAAGCGCCACTTCACGCCGTCGTCCTTTTTCTCCTCCTCCCACCTGGCAGACGAGGCAGCCCGCGTCAGGGTCAGGGTCAGGGTTCGGGTCAGGGTCAGGGTCAGGGTTCGGGTCAGGGTCAGGGTCAGGGTTAGGGTCGGGGCCAGTGTCACGGTCAGGGTCAGTTCTAGGTTCAGGATAAGGATCAGGTTCAGGTTCAGGGTCCGGGCCCGGGTCCGGGGGGTCAGAGCCAGGGCCCGGGTCAGTGCCAGTGCCAGTGCCAGTGCCAGTGCCAGTGCCAGTGCCAGTGCCGCTGCCAGTGCCAGTGCCAGGGCCGGGTCCGGGACGCGGCGGTTTACATAGGTACGCCCGAACGTCAGAGGTCAGCACGCGGACGCCCGGCAGCTGATCGCTGTGCTAGCGCTACTAAAACCATACAAAGCACGTCCTCGCGGCCTCTCGCGCCCACTGCGGCAGAAAATGAAAAAATAGGCTGTTAGCCAGGTTCGAACCCGCGCCCCGCCGCACCGTCGTCAGCGAACGGTTCACCTCCAGAGCTGCACACCCCGCCAACGGCAGGTTACCGTCGTCCGCTACGCCGTCGACTCAGCAGTCGGCGTACATCGCCACGGACCCACTCTCACTGTCGGCGGCCGACAGCTCTGGCTGCAGCTCACGCCCTCCGAAAACACACGCAGCGCGCGCGCTCTCTCACCATTTCCAGACTTGCTGCTCCTCCTCAGCCTTCTTCTTCTTAGTGGGGCTGAGCGTCTCTGGCTTTACCTTCTTCATCTCCTTTTTCACCTTCTTGGGCTGGAAACGGAGCAGCCGGCGTCAAATAACGACCAGGTGCCTCCGTGAGCCAAATCCACATCAATCCGCTTCCTGGGCTCTTGGTCACCACGTAGACGAGCACCGCTTCATACACAAACCATTGCTTTCTGATTTTTTTCAACCGGCATAAGCTACCAAAAACTCAGAAAACTGCTATACCTCTCGTTTTGTGACTATATTGTGTACCACGATGTAGTCCCGTTTCCTTTTCAGCTAAAATAAGAAGTAAATAAAATATAAAAAATAAAACAAGAAGAGCATGTAGATACAAGTGTCTGATCAAAGTGTGGTGTGCATCTGTTGCAACAGATGGTCCAATTGACATTTAAAATTAAACTCGTTCTCCGGGGACTACTGGGTATGACTCGTAATAGGCACGACCGTTTCTTTCAGTCATTTGCAAGTGTTGTTATGCAGATGCATATAGGTGCATTATCACACATCCAATAATACAGATATGACAAATCAAGTACACAACCTTGTTATAGGACAAATTGGTTTACATTACTGTCCCTGCAATCCGCTTATGCCAAGCAGTCATCACAGCTTCAGCATTGACTGGTTTATGTCAAGTGCCAGTGCCTTGAAGTACCATCCCTGTAACTTATATTGCATTACGGGGATGATATTCAACACTTGACTGATGCAAACAACAGGTCAATCTGGGCATTTTCCCAACAGTTTCAGACGTCTGACAATTTTAGTCAACACTTTTCAACACTGAGCATCTGTCCAGGAGACATCTGGCCGGCATAGAGCACACTGCAACCGGCGTCTGCCTTTCCATGGCCCCGACCCGCCTCCCCCAGGCGACGCCTGCCTGCCCACGGGCCCCGTCCGCCTACACCGGCGACATCTGACTTCCCCCAGGCCCCGGCCGCCTCCCCTAGACGACGCCGCACGTACCGGCTTGCGCTCGTACTCGTCGTCCGAGTCGGCCTTCCGCTTGGCCTTGATGGCCTTCTTGCGCACGGCCAGCGGGATGTCCTCCTCGCTGTCTTCGTCGCCGGCGCCCAGCGTCACGGCCGGCCTCTTGCGCGCAGACTGGAACAGCGGCGGCGGGGAAGGGTCAGACGGGCGCCGGCCGGGGTCCGGCCGGATGGCCGGACGCGCATCGGCCACGGAGGGGAGCGCCCCGCAGAGCTGCGGCGTCATGGTTAGATCACGCCACCGCCGGGCACGCGATAAGCGGTCGCCGGAACAAACCGCGGCGTGGCAGGCGAGACTGACAAGCTGAACACGGCTGGCATACTGGTCACATTTCCCACATCGTCGCGTGCTGTAGCCGCCTTTGCCGCCAGCACACATAGTCAGATAACCGTCCCACACAGGACGACCGCAAACACGCGATGGCCCCCCAGCTACCGGGACGTTTGGTAAACAACTGCAAGATGACGAGCGGGGGGTACGGTACGATCATACCAGTATGCATGCCGCGAGGAGACAGGACACGGCTTCCGACCAAGAGGGATAATCGCAGAGCACTGCTCGCCGCAGCAATGGCGCCGGTGTCGGGCCGCCGAGACGTGTACCGCTCCACGAGCGCAGCGGCCACATCATCCGTAGGCCACCATGCCGCCAGATCGACGTCCCAGGACACGACCCCGCCTGACTACTTGACTGAGGCGTCAGCGCCGACGCCTGCGACCGCCGAACTGAACGGCGCCATGTGCGCTGTGCAATTGTTCTTCATCAGTGTTTTCGATCCCTTTGTGATACATCAGCTGACTTCATGCCACGTCCGCGGTCCGCTGACGTCCCGTTAATGGGGACATCCTAGGACGGGGTGGCTTCATCTGCTGCACAGTCCAGAACGAACGACCTTGGTTGCGCTTTATCGTCGGTTGACAGTTTGACTCCAGGTCTTCAAACTATGGCTGGCCGGCATGACTGGGTACCAGAAAAGGCTGTAACTGCGATGCTTGTGTTTGTGATCCTGTTTGTGGACTGCATGGGTAAGTTGCAAAACTAATTGGGTACCTCTCATTACAGGTCGTGACAATTACCGACGATTTTCGGGGTCGATCGCAGGAATTTTAAAAAAAAACGGAAGTCTTCGTGGCCAGCGGAATTCACACAACGCACCGAAGGAAAAATAATTCGAACGTGGCATCGGCCGCCGGCATCTTTCGAGGCGATGATCACTTTCACCATTTACGCAAGAACGCCGCCGGCAAAACTTTTGGCGTCGACCACAGATGCGTAATACCACTAGATCGACAACACCCATGTTACGGGTCTTAATTATTAGCAGGCGTGCGTGATCCAAATACGGTCATTAGCTGTAAAATGGTATGGACTCGTAGGCAAATGTGGGCAAACAAAACTACTTGCTGGCCGAAAAAGCAGCTTTTCGCAGTTGCGGGAGTACTTGAGCCCCACCGCCCCCCCCCCCCCCCCTCCCACAGCGCGGTAGTCCACGCACCTCTGCCATTATAGATCAGCATGTACGGGCCCAGGCGGAGAAAATCTTGCAATTGATCGGTACCTACACTTGGTGCACGCCGGTATTGTCTTTGTACTGGCATACAGAATATAAAAACGCTTTAAGCTCTTGATGGACAGCAGCCTGGATTGTCTGTCTGGCAACTGAATGCGATCTCCACTTATCAGGGGTGAATCTGAGAAAAATTTGGACTGGTGCATCTTCGCCAATTGCGTTTGATAACCATTCGGTGTTCGCCAACCCACGCATATCCTCTTGGGAGATGGGGGGGGGGCATTTTACTTCGCTATCTTCACACCGCGCAACAGGGTGCACGTGAACATTGTCATAGGCCTGGGTGAGTACCTCTTCTGCTGTTCCGGTTTTCGTACACATCATATGCCCCCCGAACAGGGTGCAGCCAGGATTTTTTCAAGGGATGGGGCCCATAGCTCGGTGGGCATGCATCACGCCACGAGGGTAGTTTCGCAAAATGAATTGGTGTGGGGGGGGGGGGGGACAGTGAAAAATGGCTCAACCTACCCAAGAATACGCCAACAACGTGTTTCCGCCCAGATTTGGCCCATTTTCTCCTCAACAAGTGCGGGGAGAGGGCTGAGCCCCCACTCTAACTGAATAAGAAACTATGCCACTGCATCACGCCGGGCTTTTGTCACTTCTGCCACCAGCCATCGATAAGGGGGGGGGGGGGGTAACAAAAAATCTGGGCCTGAGGGGACGGGGGGCACCAGAGCTCCAGGCCTTTCCCTTGGCTGCTCACCTGCTCCTAAATCGGGATTTAAGGGACTGAGCAGTGTCAACCAAAGATTTTCACGCCGTGGAGCAAAGCTCATGCCAGGTACTGTGCTGCCCAGATGGAATATTCCCCGCCCCCCCCCCCCCCTCCCCCCCCCCCCCACCTCACTATGGTAAGAAACCACATCCGAAGCATTTTGGATTTAGCGAAATGATGCCTCTGGGCGTTGCTATGCTCGTGTTAAGGCTGGGCCCCTCTCCTTATGGTTTTGCATGTTCCTTGATCACATTTACTATTGTACTGATGCAACTCCAATGACTGCAGTTTGGCCCCATGGCACGGGCAGTAGATTAGGACACGGCAATGCCGCCCCCTCACCCCCACCGGCCCCTTCCCCAACTCCAGGCAACACGAAACAGTATCCCACGGGGTTACACGAAAAGAAGACTCGAGACCAAAGCGTGCTAGCCCCCCCCCCCCCCCCCCCACACGCACACTACTTACACAGTGACTCCGCGGTTACATTATGATATTTACATTTTCCTTCAGTGAACTCAGTTCTCCAGCTTCCAATAATGGACACTGAGCTCGACTAGTGAGCGGTGGGATCGGCTGTTACATCGGCTCTCGCGAGACAGGCTGCTGCGCTGTGTCTGATGGGTTCGGTGTCCACGCCGGCTCCAGCGAGGTCCGGGAACAGCTGGCTGCGTTGGTACCGGCCGATGCAACGATACCGCTGAGGTCAACCGCTGTTCAGCATCATCTAGTCCGTTCGGGGCTTGGGTTGATATGCTGCTGTGGTCCTCATTTATGTTGCCAGAGCACAGACAGACAGCAATCGGTCAAGAACCGCGGCTGCGGCAGGCGGCGTATTACTAGCACGGTGACCGCATATTGTACTACAACAGCATGCTCAAACTATACAGCTTATACCCGTGATTGCACAGGGTCTGCGGTGCGCCGCATGCCGCTTTACCATCGCTGACAATTCATCGTTATCAGGCACGGCATAACGTCAGATCACCCCTCAATATTCATTCACAACTTTGCCCCGACTAATTTTGACAAGTGCCTAAGCCGCAGGGAAGTAAAATATTTGCGGCCGAGTCTCCCTTGCATGCTTCAGTTGAATGTGGTCCGATTTATCATTTGTCTAAATTAATGACTCGCATCTTTGGGTTCACAGCAATCTTTATAAACTGCGATCAATCAACTCTTTTCGCAGTGCTACTTTGAACACAAGCGCGCATTGGCCGAATCCGCGCGCCGCCTCAGCGAGCGGCTACAAAAGCGACGCGCATAACATGGTCACATGAGCTGTGAACTCTCAGCGTCAGCGTTTCAATGCCGTTTTCCAGCGTCCCGTCCCACCAGTTTTATCGGATGCGCAGCTGCATCGGTTGTTTTGTTTTGTGACGGTCCCCTTACGTGAAACGCACACGTTCATCAGCTAAAAACAACGCTTCATTTGTTTGCGTCGTGGATGATATCGTTAAACCATACCCCGGCCGCTTATACGCGCGGGTTCAGCTTGAAACGATCCATGAATCCCTCTGCCTGGCACTCTAGGCGCGGCCGTTTCCGACCCGGTAGCATTAGACATCTATGGGACCAGCCGTCAAAACTGATTAAACCCGGTACACCCGGAACCCGATTTAAGCCCGCTGCCCGCAGCGTTGGCTTCTCCCTCGGCTCCCCACTCGGAGGAGGGTTACGGGGAAGTGTACCAGACCCTACTAAGTGAGCTACGCCGGCCGTCAAGATAAGTACCACGAATGGCCGCTCCAAGATGCCGCCAACGCCACGTCCTTTCGGCTAGACTGCACGAGACCGCTCTTCCTGGTCCCGATAACCAGGGAGGCCACCTACGCGCCAGCACCAGCGCCAGGCCGGCGGCCGGACGCCGGCAAGCTGGGGACAGGACGCTGCACGGGCCCCTCTGACGACCGCCCCACTGACCAGCGGCTGCTCGTCCTCGCTGTCCATCGGCAGCTCCTCCTTGATGACCAGCCGGTCCTCGTCGTCGCCGTCGGTGAAGTCCTGAGAGTCGTCCAGAACCTGCCTCTGCAGCGAGTGCTGCCTCCTCGTACACCTGCTGGCGGTCGGACACGTGACAGGCGTGCTGCCGCTGACTTTAGGCTTCAGTACTGGCTGGCTCACAATGCACAACGTTGGTCGCTAAGAACTACAAGAGGAAATTATGACAAATAAAAACCACTGGAGCAGGTGCGCATAAAGGAAAATGTTTTAGGTAACACAAATCAATTTATATCATGCAACATTTTAACTATACAAGGCTTTCTCGCGGTAATGCAAGCACTTAACAATAATTGTGCATGGCATAAATTATACAATACACCATTGCATTGTTCAGAAACCATATAAAAACAATTTGAATATATGTAATGAACAATATATATGAATACAGGATGCACACTAGCCTGAGGTTCCTCTTCCTGCACCTCCTGCTTAATCTCATCTTGAATCTCTTTCGATCTGTGGTGCTCTTTGTCCTCCTGATGTCTATCTCTGTGTTTGTCCTTTTCCCTGTGCCGATCCTTGTCCCCGTCTCTTCTGCTGGAACTGCTGTGCCTGTCCTTGTCTTTGGAGCTGGACTTGTGAGACTTGTGTTCCTTGCTTCTGTGCTTATCTTTGCTGCACAAGAAAAATAGTCCATTAGTAATGATGCGAGTCCCATCAGCAAGGTAGAAGATCATCCAGACAAAAACCAGCCTGATGTGCAAAAAGTGGCCATAGCGAGACATGAAGTGAGGAAGTGAAGAGAAAAGAAGTGAAGTGACCACTTCTCTATGTACCAAAACAAATTCATTTCAGAACAGGATATGGGTTTTAAAGTACCATAGTACAAATGACAAAAAACTCGATGCAAACTACCTCGTGGCTGGACTACACAGCATCATGCATACATTCAGCTGTGACTCAAACAGCTTCAATGCAAGAGACAGGCTCTCCAGAGCCAGCCAATAAAAACACACTGAAGTGCCGCAACAAAACCTTCCGCAAAAACAAACCCAGACACGCCGCAGCTGATCGCCAGCTGCAGCCCCATTCACGAGCGGCGCCCGTGGATGCCGACGCTGGGCGGCAACTCACTGGGACGACTTATGGTCGCGGCTACGCTCGCGGTCCTTGTCCTTGTGCTTGTTCTTGTGCTTGGACTTGTGCTCTTTGGACCGGTGCTCCGACTTGTGCTCCTTCACGTCCCCGTTCATGCTGCCGCTGTAACCTGAAGATCCCGTTTGTCAATGCGTCGCAGTGGTCGCAGCACAAGGTGCGAGGAAGCTCAGCAACAGCACTCAGATCGCCCAAGCGAAGCTCGGGAGTGAACGCTCCGGGCAGCGTGTAGTAAGCGCAACGCCAAGTCATCAATTAACGCCCCCCCCCCCCCCCCCCCCTCCCCCTCCCGCCCCAGGTGACATTTCAGCTTCCTAACACACACGCACACACTGGGAAGTCTATCACTGCCCTCATCAACGTAACTGGTGCACAAGCGCGCCCGTGCCGCAAACCCACACGGCTCGGCCCACGCGCGCCGGCGCTGGGGCGGTAGGGGACGGCGTGGGACCCGAGCTCGCGAGCACCCTCTTCCCGGGCCCGCCACCGCCGCCTAGCGGCGCGGCGCCACAACACGCCGCGCCGCGCCGCCGGTCACGTGCCGGGCGGTGACGCACGGCCCTGCAGCGTGTCACGTGTTCCAGGTGAACCATCGGACGGAAGCACTGGGAGCGGCTGTATCAGCCACGCGCCACGACCGCGGGCTGGCCGAGCGAGACCAACACTGCCGGTGTCTCGGAAGCGGTCGCGACATCCTGCAGGGGCAACAGACGGCCACGCCCGGTATCGCGGAGATTCGAACCGACATCCGAGCAGACATCTTGACCTGGATAATCCACGTGCCGTGGATTTTCTAGATCGATAGCGACCGGTCGCAGCCACGCACAGACGCACTTATAACAGCGCCGCTAGCTGCCGGTTGTGGCCCGATAAGCGTAGGGTGGGGGAGCGCGACATCATAAACTGCTCGAAACAAACCCCGGCTTACCACCTATAGACAGGCGTGGTCATCATTGATTAAGAATGCAAGCTTTTTACGAGGCCGTCTGAACTGCGC